TCAACTTTAGTTCTTAAAATGGACAAAGTTATTATTGTAGGGGATTTTAATACTCATTTGGTGATCATAAACCGACTCACTGTTTTAACCACACCCTCGACCTTGTTCTGGTATATGGTATTGAAATTGAACATTTAATAGTGTTCCCACAGAATCCCTCTTTATCTGACCACTCTTTGATAACTTTTGAGTTTGTATTGCTGAACTACACACCAAACTGGAAAATTCTCGTTTAATTTGGCAAGATAGTCTTAAAACTTATAGAAAGGCCCTCCGTAATGCCAGGGCAGCGTACTACTCGTCATTAATAGAGGAAAATAGGAACAACCCCAGGCACAGCTCTATTGAACCAAGCATTCCCATAGCTCTCAGTAGTTACGACTTCATGAGCTTCTTTAATGATAAAATTCTAACTATTAGAAACAAAATTCACCAAGACCTGCCCTCAACTGGCACCGACTTATCTCCAAACTCAGGAACCTTAGAAACAGCTGTAAAACCAGATATATGTTTAGACTGTTTTGCTTCCCTCAGTCTTTACCAACTAACTTCAATAATTTCTTCATCTAAACCATCAACCTGCCTCTTAGACCCCATCCCGACTAGGCTGCTTAAAGAAGTTTTACCCTTAGTCAGCACTTGTCTACTAGATATGATCAATCTATCTCTGTCAACAGGCTATGTACCACAGTACTTTAAAGTAGCTGTAAAACCTCTTCTGAAAAAGCCCAACCTTGATCCAGATGTTTTAGCCAACTACAGACCTATATCTAACCTTCCATTTCTCTCTAAGATCCTGGAGAAAGCAGTTGCTAAACAGCTATGTGACTTTCTACAGAGCAATAGTTTATTTGAGGATTTTTAGTCAGGATTTAGAGTTCATCATAGCACAGAGACAGCACTGGTGAAAATTACTAATGACCTCCTAATTGCATCAGACAAAGGACTTGTCTCTGTACTGGTTTTATTAGGTCTGCATTTGATACCATTGACCATCAGATCCTATTGCAGAGACTGGAATATTTCATTGGCATTAAAGGAACCGCTCTAAGCTGGTTTAAGTCCTATTTATCAGATCGATTTCAGTTTGTACATGTTAACGATGAGTCCTCCATGCATGCCAAAGTCATGGAGTTCCTCAAGGATCTGTACTTGGACCAATCCTCTTCACTTTATATATGCTTCCTGAAGTCAATATTATCAGGAAACATTCCATAAACTTTCATTGTTCTGCAGATGATTCTCAGTTATATCTATCGATCAAGCCAGATGAAACTAATCAGTTAGCTAAACTTCAAATGTGCCTTCAGGATGTTAAAACCTGGATGACCTGTAATTTTCTAATGTTAAACTCAGATAAAACTGAAGTTATGGTTCTGGGGCCTAAGCACCTCCATGACGCATTATCTAAAGATGTAGTTTCACTTGATGGCATCGCCCAGGCCTCCAGCACCACTGTGAGGAATCTTGGCGTTATCATTGATCAGGACATGTCGTTTAAGTCTCACATTAAGCAAATTTCAAGGGCCAGCTTTTTTTCACATTCGTAATATTGCAAAAATCATACATCAAACATCCTGTCTAAATTTGATGCAGAAAAACTAGTACATGCATTTGTTACTTCTAGGCTGGATTACTGCAATTCCTTATTATCAGGCTGCTCGAAAAAGTCCATTAAGATTCTTCAGCTGATCCAGAATGCTGCAGCACGTGTTCTAACAAGAACCAAGAAAAGAGATCATATGTCTCATGTCTTGGCTTCTCTGCATTGGCTTCCTGTAAAATCCAGAATAGAATTTAAATCATTCTTCTCACATACAAAGCTCTTAATGGTCAGGCACCATCTTATCTTAAAGAGCTCATAGTACCTTACTACCCCACCAGAGCACTGCGCTCCCAGAATGCAGGGTTACTTGTGGTTCCTAGAGTCTCCAGAAGTAGAATGGGAGCCAGAGCGTTCAGCTATCAAGCTCCTCTCCTGTGGAACCAGGTTCCAGTTTGGGTTCAGGAGGCAGACACCATCTCCACATTTAAGAGTAGGCTTAAGACTTTCCTCTTTGATAAAGCTTATAGTTATATAGTAGAGCTCTCTCTCTCTCTCTCTCTCCCTCTCTCTCTCTCCCTCTCTCTCCTTCACCCCAACCGGTCGAGGCAGATGGCCGCCCACCCTGAGCCATGGTTCTGCTCGAGGTTTCTGCCTATTAAAAGGAAGATTTTCCTTGCCTCTGTCGCCTAGTGCTACGCTTGGTGGGATCTTTTGGGTTTCTGTAAATAAATAAAAAAAGCGATGGCCTTAGAGGGCGACGCCTAAACAACATAGAATGATAGTTAGGGCTACATATTGTAACTCCAGATTCTATGAGTATATACACAGCCGTCTAAGCAGTGGGCCTCACTGGACCTTGGTTCTTAGTGCTGAAGAAAAGGCACTATGGGAGCCGATTTTTGTTGCTCTGTGGATCTGGTCCGGGATCGGCCATGTTGCCTTTTAAAGCCCAGGTTTGAGAGCGGCTCAGACCTGTCGACTCAGACGAACTGTAGTCTTTTTCCACAATGAGGCTAACTGAGGGCCCAGTGTCAAAACAGAGAGGTGATGAAGACACCCAGCTTAATTTCAAAGTGCCACTGGAGTGTGGAGATTAGAGAGTGGGGGCAGGGAGCAGAGGTTGCTCCAGAGCTCAGTGCTTGTACATTCAGGGGACTGCTGCGATAAGACTTAAGTAAAACCCTGACACTAAACGAAAGACGACGAAAGTGATAGCAGGGGCGGGGAGGGCTTCTCACTCTCTTTTGTTGTAGGGGAAAATGCAAAGTGTAGGGTAAATAAGAGATGGAACGGGGGAACAGCAGCGGAGGGAGTGAGGGATCCAACCATTTCTTTCCCTTATTCTTCTGTCTGCATCACACTGCTTAAGCACACTACTTACAAGCTGATATTATTAGCCAATCACAACGATCTGTCTGTGTAAGCTGATTGTAGAAGGTGCAATCCCCTCAGTGCGCTGATCAGACTGCCAGGGCCCAGGTACAGAATGGATCCTGGAATAATTATGGGATTTAGGGAGATGTTAGGCTTTGTAAGTGCTTCATTGTGACAGTGCTGAGTGTTTGACACAGCAGTACTCCCAGTGCACAATACCCCCGGGCCTGATTCGTCGGGGGGGCTGAACTTCTACAGACATGTCCTTTAATCACTACATTCCTTTCTGTTCCCAGTCAGTGATAACAGTGATACTGTCAGTCTCAACGCTGCTGCTGCTGCTGCTGCTGCTGCTGCTCTGATCGACATTCAGTTTTCTCCAAATCTTTACATGCATCTCTTCTATTTGAACTAAAATGCGTCAACATTTTCTCTTTGGTGAAATGTCTTTAGGTGTTTATAAAGCTTTAGCTGTGTTTCCTGATTACAAATAACGTATGCAGCTTCCCCACCCCCCCTCCACTGAAGAATCAAAGGTTTCCCCTCCCTGTTCAGCTACAGCACCTTAAACATTTGTTGTAAATAAAAATGAAAATGATCAAACACTGCTGGACAAACAGAACTTTTACACATTAGAGATTTGATGTTAAACTTATCATCTCACTGAAAGAACAAGTGAAGCAGACATTGATCCATGATTCAGGAAGAGAAAATGAACAGCTACACCGCCTGTTCCAGAGCCATTAACACAAACAACATAAAGACTTCTTACCTGTAAACCTTCTCTCCACTGGACCTTTCTTTACAGTGATGGCGGATCAGGGCACTCTGGGTTGCCCCTGGCAAACCAATCATTGCTGGTTGATGTGAAACACATCACTACTGCTAGCACGGGAAAGTCTCCACAGACCCCAGATTTAAAAACCCAGGTGTACTATGCGTTCCTCTTTAGGTCTGTCCCGGGAATGAGTCCAGCATCACAGGGAGGAGGAGTGTGGAGGACGGCAGCTGGTCTGCCTCCATTCATTCTACAAAGGCCTTCTACTATCTACAGACATCCTCAGGCCTGGAGAGTCAGGCCATCAAAGATCACCATAAGGGTTTATGTCATCACTACCACTGGACTGTCTACATAACACTGGCCGCTCCACACCGTGGCATGCTAAGACCTGCACCAGGCTGTCTCCTCTGCTTGCTAAATACAGTCCTGTCCAGTGGCGTTTCTAGTTGATCTGTTGGGATACTGCCTGCTGCACATAATCAATTTAGCCTTCTTGCATTCCTGCATTTTCGAGTTTAACAGAAAACCCTGATCCCAGACCAGCTCCTTCCATGGCAGCTGGGTGCCATCAGGGGGTGAGTATGTGTGAATGGGTGAAGACTGCACGTGGCCCTTTGCTGGTGTTTCCACAGCAGTTAGTGGGTTACCTGTTTCTAGCAGCTCACCTGTCTGCAGTAATGTTGTGGTCATCATGAGGAACACACTGTGGACAGATGCTGGACTATTTATTCTTTCTGTTTTACTCATTCAGAGAGGAGTCAGAGTCATTGTGGATCATATCTGCTGACATGAACTGGGCCGAGTTATAATCACAGAGCACTTTATGTTAACATGGACTTGATAAATCCTGCTGCAGTGGCAGAGCCTAATGATATAGGTCCATCTTCCCAAGCTCTGGTCCTTAATAAGATATACATCTGGGCTGGAGGATACGACATAAAATCAAACTTTTTAATTCAACATTTTACATTGATGATGATCAATGAACAGTTAATTAGTTTTGTGGTATTTTGTCCTCATAGTTCACCATCAAGGTTTGTTCTGTAAATAGGCTCAACTATTAAAGGTGGGATATTCTTTTCAATTCACAGATGTCAAAAGTCCTTCATCTGAATGTTACGTAATGATAATAATTGATTGAATAATTGATAACGTAATGTTGATGGAAAGCAAAAGGCTGAACTGAAGTGCAGTGATTGTAAAATCTCAAACATGCTGAGCTGAATCATTTTTCTTCTTCTTCCATTTTACTACCTAAAACAACAACAGCAGCAGTAGGAAACCCGCACAGCCACGTGGTCTTGGTCCAGTTGTAGAGCTTTAATGAACAGTTACGCCAGTGTTACAGTCGACACACCGAAAGGCTGAGGGAGTAAATGCCAATACAAATTTCTCACTAGTCTAATACTTAATACAGGTAGAATAAATTATACTATGGCAACATACGAACACGCATGCCCAACAGAAAGCAGAACGAAACAAGCAGAGAGAGGACCAAGAGGTAAACAGGAGTGAACATTTCTGTACATTTGATCCTTCATGCTCTCCTTGCTTTGCAGTGAGTGAAAAAATATACATACACAAGGTAGAAGTTTAACACAGCCGGCGTCCAAAGAGAGACAGCAGAGATCTTACAAGCCTCAGTGTGAGACCGATGCAGCAGAGGGACACTGGAATGAAATGAACTCTGTCTGGCATCACATACAGAGAGTGAAGAAAAAAGAAAACTGATTGGCATTGTTGCTGAAGGACTACAGTGGTGTTCTTCTCCTGAACGCAGCATGGAGGAGCCCTCCTTGTGGTTAGTACGGCTCTCTGACTGCACTAAACCTTCTCAAGTCAAAGTTGTCACATTTCTATTGTTAAGACTCTTTTCTGTTCTTTCCAGTCTTTCCAGTTTTTGGTTTCCAGACTTAAATAAAAAACAGCAAACATTTATCTGTTTCCTTTAGCTGTCATGGCCAGATAATGACTTGAAAACATTTTGCACTTCTGTTGCTATGTTGAATAGAAACATAACTCACACATCTCCCCAAGAATGCAAGCATAACTACTGTAGGAGATCCACCTTTTAGCTGCAGATGATTCCTCAAAACCCAGCTGAGTCAGCCGTTGGACCATCTAGTGCTTAAACACAAGAGCGGACATGAAATGAAACTGAGGAAAAGAAGAGTTCATCCCTGGTACCCAGCTGCTGGAGGATCATCACACTGAAGTTCAGCTGCTCAGCCCGGAGCCGTTTGGCCTCCAGCCAAACCTCTTCAGGAGGTCTTGTTGTTGATCAGAGGGACTGCAGAGTCTCCAGCATTGGTCCAGTTTATCTCCCGCACATACGTCCACACACACACACACACACACGGCATCCTGAAGGCTGACACTTTGTTTTTAAGCTGACAATATTTTGTGCTAATGTTCAGTTTCTATAAAGTTTCACACAAAAGGTGTCTCGGGTTGTTCCAGCATTTTATTCTGCTCAAGGTGAACAAAAAGTTTAAAACACTAAAACTCAGCCGGGACGGATCAGCAGCTGAAAACCGGTCTCTGTTCACTGCAGCCTTGTGTGATGCTGTGTGTGCTCAAAAGGTAACACACTGGATCTGAGGTAGCATTCATGAGCCGCGATCACACAAATATGGCAAAGGGAAACACAAAATAAGTGATCAGCCCGGCAGGTGTTTCCTTCAGACCTGCATTTAATGTCAGCAATCCAATAGATGCAAACCAGAAGAAAAGTGCTCTGCGTTCAGTCTGAGTGACTGTGACGCATGATTCTGCTGTCTGAGTGTGGACAGGGACGCCTGCTGCAGCGAGGACACACTGTGATTCCCATAGTAATTCTTTACATCTCTAGTTAAAAGTTAAATACATGGTGCTGTGAACAACATTTGGTGTGATATGAAGACGGTGCTGACCCTGCTGTTCCACGGGGAATGTTTAAAGCTTGGAGACATACTAACATCAAATAAAGTCTAGAAAAACTAAATATCAACACACACACACACACACACACACACACACACACACACACACACACACACACACAAACACATGTTCTCTGGGAGGTTTGTGGGGACAGTAGCAGGAGCTGCAGGTTGTGCTGGTGACCAGGTGTCATGTGGTTTAAAGTACTAGTAGGCCTGACCGGTTTCCACCTGCAGCAGTCCCAGTACTGCCGAGTGGTCGGCCAGCTTCATCCTGCGCTGACTGGACAGGCCCACATTCTTCGCCAGGTAGTCCACAGCAGCTGGAGGGGATGGAGACAGGGGGGACAGTTCAGGATCATCTGCTAGACTCAGTACTGTGACACCTCGACATATTCAAGCTGTGTTACTGTCCAACAGTATCACACACATTCTGTATAAACATGAATATTCACACAGCAGAAGCCATGTTTCATTGATTTTGGGTTAATTACTTACAACACACACAAACTAAACAATAACATTTGTAGACTTAGACAGCAGTGTAGTGGAGCAGAGAGCAAAGGATGCTGGAATAAATGTTTGTGCAGGTATTATGTACATGAGGTTGGTGGGTATGATATATATACAATCCAGACAGCTACTTAAATGCTTCAGTGATGAATAAATTGTAAATCTGCAGGTGGATCAGAGTCACAGGGATGTTCCTGACTCTGTGTGTCTAGAGTCAGCTGTTCCTCAGAGTGATAGTCTATGGGTAATAAACTCTGCTCTTTAGCACCAACCAGAGGGAATATCACAATATATTGACACTAAATCTGCAAAATGTCCTTTAACATCAATTTAAAGCAAGTTTATATGAATAAATATATAAATATAATCATGTTTGCAGTGACTTAAAGCAGGAGGAAGGATTTGTTCCATCATATTTCCTCTCTATTTTCCAGACTAAACCTCAGCACTAGACTCAGGATTCAAACCTGAGTTTCAAAGTTATGCACTTGTACACAAAACTCTGCAACCTCCCTACCAATTCTGTGCAGTAGATGAACATTGCACTTCCTGGACGGTAGAAATGTGAACATAATCCAGGCAGCATTTATGTTCGCTCCTAAATGGATCTGGCAAAAGACTGCGTGTACAAAGGTATTCTGTAAGAGACAGGGTTGTTTGATGCTCTGAGAGCATTTGGGGCAACAGGATGAAGGGCCATGTCAGTTAGTGCAGCAGTGTGTTGGTTTCTTTGGCTCAGAGGGAGAGGAGATGCGTTCACTGCTGGTTTGAGTCTGAACAAGAAGAAAAATATAGTACATGACCAGACTGATCCTTTACTGTGTTTTATATTGCTGCAGCTGTTTGTTGTCCGATCACAGTGACTGACGAGGGGAAAGTGTCTGACAGACAGACAAAAGCAGCCGGCAGACAGACAGAGAGGCAGGTAGTCTCTAAAATAAGTGTGGCTCTTGGAAAGCTGGTATTAAAGCTCAGCATCCTTCTCTCTTGGAGTGGTGGATGTTGCCCCTCCCTGGTTCAGGTGGTGATAGCTTCTCTTTAAGGGGCAGGAGAGAGGAGGGCTGGCAGCAGATGTGATGTGACACGCTGTGTTTAGGTGTGCGTGAGTGTGCTGTGGCTATCTGGAGGAGATAAGTTAGGCCTGTCAATCAGGATTCTAGTGTGAGCAGAAAGGAAGCTGTCACTCTGTGCTGAGGAGTGGCAGAAAGAAGAGCACCTATAGGTGGGCAGGTCTGTCTGCCAACATGCCAGTCAGCCAGACAGCTGGTAGGGGGGGTGGGGGTGGGGGGGGGGGCACCGGCTGAGTGTGGGTTTGTGTTTCACAAGGGTTTAGAGAGGCCCTCTAAAGGAAGCTGTTTTTCCTGTCAACCAGGTTTATACCTTAAATCCCTGTTGAGCAGTCACACTGAGAGTCCTCTGCCTCCAGATACAGCCTGATAACACACACTCTCTCACGCCTCAGCTGTTCTGACAGAATGCACTCTGTAATCTGTCGGCAGCTTTCTGCAGAACAAGAGGTGAGTGAGTCAAATGTCTGAAGTAAACTGTTAAATCTGTTTGTTCCCATCACAAAGGATCAGTTATAACATTGCAGATATTCTCTTAATGAAATGAGTCTCATTGCTGTGAAGTCAGCAGCCATTTTGGTTCTCAGACACAGTTTAAAGGAAAATCTCTTTGGTGAGTAAAACGTTATCATAACTGATCATAACAAAATTAAAAAGTTAACAAAGTTGTAATAAACTTGGATGATGTGTGGCAGCATGGTAGGATTGATTCGGCCCCTCATGATTTACATCCAACACCAACATCTGAGCTCCACGCAGCAGGGAGGAGGTCACATCCTGTCAGACGTTTTTATTAAATCTCTGCAATCTAACCAGACGTAGCATATTTATTGTTGCTAACTAGACCACAGAGCCCTGCACATCATGTGTTGAAGCCGAGGGCCACTGACCAGGCGGCAGTATTTGATGAGCTGAGACTGAAAACGTGTTGCCTAACCATAACCATACTGTAGCTGCCAAACTATTGGAATAGGACATAATCTTTTTGTTACTGAACAAATCCAGAGATTTGCAGAAGCGTTCTCTTCTGGTGAAAGGGTTGGGTAGCCACACAGTTTTCCTAATAATTCTTTTTATATTGGATGAATCTGAAGTTCAACTGGCAGCTCAAAGTGCTTACACATTAAAAAAGATAAGAGCAGAAATTTAAAAGGACAAGAACATGCCATTTAAAGGTTTAATAGAAATTTAGAAGGTGGGGATGTTGAGGACAGATGAATGGACGTAAAGGGGTGATGGTGGAAGAAGGCTGCTGTGGTTGGATGTACTGAAGAGACTCCGTGTGGGGGTTCCATCTCAGGGTTAGGGTGAATGTTGTGGTAGAAAACAGTAGGACTGGTATAGGATGAAAATCTGATTCTGGGGCCAAGTGTCTGAAATGAAACAGTGAATCAGCGATGCTGTTGTGGCAGCCAGGACTGTGGGCTGCCCTGAGGATGAACTGGTGTTAAGCCCAGATTAATGTGAGTCTGCGAAGGAACTCTGTGGAGATAGACCTTTGTTTAGGATATGACTGCGGTGTATCAGAGTGCAGGAGTATTCCTAGAACATTCATGCCCGCAAAGAATGTCGGCTGGGGTTTAGTTCGTGGAACACTGACTAAGGAAAGAAGAAAGTCTAGAGATTGGAACTCTTAGGGCCAAGACAAGCAAACCATCTCCGTCAGTAGTATTTAGTAGTACGCATTTCCATTTTGTATCATGGACTGAGGGGGCGGCTTTAGTCAAAAGGTTAGACAGGAAGGCTTAGTGTTGTGGTACTCGTGATCAGTCTCGGTCTTGAGACCACTTATTGAAGGTCTCAGTCTTGTCATGGTCTCGTGGAGTACATTGTCTGGTGTATTTGGTAACATCCTGACTTTGATTGGATGTTGTAGTGAACAACGATGTGGATTTGTGCATTTTCTATTGAATGAATGTGGAGCTACCCTAAATTCCTTTCTCCTCCCCAGAGAAGAAGGGGAGGGGTCAAAGTTGCTTTCTCTAAGTGCTAGCCCGACCATAAAACTGGCACCATTTTTGATTCCGAAGCTGATAACGCGGGGCCTGACTGTTAAACTGACAAAGGGACATGAACCAGCCATTGGCATCTCCCTGAACAGCCTATCAAAACTTACCCCACCACACACGTTTCCGTGGAAACTGACCTTATTCTTGGTTTTATTACCACATCAAAAGGATACTCCTTGTCTCACCTAAGTGTGACATGTTCCAGACACTGAACTTTGGATGACAAAGGACTGCATTCTCCAAAAGACTCAAAGCATCTAATTAAATTTAATTAAATCTTTAGTTACCTGAATATGTTTGCCTCTATTTGAGTAGTTATGTTAACTGTTGTTGCTATCTGTTGTTGATATTAGTGCTGAAAAGAAGTTACTTGTGCAGTGTTTTTATTTTCAGCAAGACACTCCTTCATCTAATGTAATCAATGCTTGTTCATAATACTTTCTTACAAAATCCCTTTAGAAATGATGACAAAGAAATGTTTTACTATACTCTTAATCGCCAGCTTGAATTTAAGGATGAATCAACAATATTCCCCGGTTCCTAAGGAGAGACGATCTTTGATTTAATCCAAGCTTTCCTCATGTAACCTGAGCTCCCCCAAGTGGGCGAAATAAGTATTACATGCCCTCGTCGGAAATGCTGTTAAATGTACAAATATCCTGACCAATAATGTGACAATTGTTTCCTGTTACCAAACGCCTAGAACAGTACAACCGTTCAACCATTGAGGTTCGATTGTGGAAAATATTTGATTATAATACGTGCAAATAGATTTCTTTTCTTTAGACATTAAGTTTAGAAAGGCAGTTCCTGGGGAAACCTGAGACGCCCCCCGGGGAACCACGCCCCAGGCAACAAAAGAGCGACACGCGACCTGCTCGCCAGGCTCTAGACTCTTAAGTCTCTAGACTCTTAGTCTCTTCACTCTTCAGTCGCTTCCACTCTGCCCTCTGGATGCTTCGGCACGCGCGTGGCGTGCCTCGCCAGGCCACACGCCCAGACTCGGCCAGCGAAACAAACAAGCCTTTGTTCGCCTGAAGCTACACACCTGAAGTGCCGAGACATCGATCTGCCTTCAGTTTGTTTTATTTTCTTTATTTCTTTTGTTTGTTAAAGTTATGAGTCCGTTAAGTTACACTGGACTAATTCAGGAACGACCAAGTTCCATTTTAAGCCTTTTTCGTCGAGCCAACTTCACCGAGGTCAGACCAAGCCACGTGGTCTCGCCAGCTACAACCAAGGAAACCTGCAAACAGCCGAATTGCCAGACGGAGGAGGCGTTTTCAATCAGACACGGAGAACCCCGAAGAATCCCTTGCAAAAAGCCAGGATCGGCAGCTAGCGTGGGACCCTTGCAACAGGCCAAAAGCAGGCTGTCGACAAGCAGTAAGACTTAACACACGTCCTGTGATCAGATGTCCATTTTAACTCCTAAACTATAGCATTAGTTTACTTTCATTAGTTCTTCTCTGCCGTATGAGTCAAATGCTTCCCACAATCGAACCTCCAGGCTCATTGTTCAGCAAATGTTTATGTTCCCTGTATCCAACCATCTTTTTATCACCTTAGTTAGAGAATAAATTCACTGTAATATAATCAAGAGCTGTGTGTTGCCTATTTATAGTTCCTGCCAAGAGAATTTACCCTTTAGATATGAGACTGACTGACTGACTGATTTAAGATAATTGAGCGATTATTAACTAACTGATCACTAGTAATAATTGTATAATTATTCAAAACTACCTAGAGGTCCGGAGACTCTAGGATTATAACAACTCCGGTGGTGCCCTTAACGAGGAAAAATGATTTTATGAATAATAATTCATAATTGGGTATCAATTCTCATAAATTTATTAAAATTCATAACTAATAAATTTAGGTCCACTACAATGTAAAACTTTATTTAGTAAATGTTAGCTGTACATATTAAGTTAGCTACCAGTGTATAAACCATATATACTGTATGTTTCAGGGCACTAGTTTCGGTTGCTTGCCGGCTATTTGCCACATAGCTATATGCACAAGCTACCTAATATATTTAACATATTGAGGGAAGTAGCTAATGCAGTGCTAACTGTGTGACAGTGGTGAGAAGTGGTTCCTAAGTCAAGTTTGTGATAAACAATGATGAGACAGGCCACATAAAGCTATGCAGCTAATGTTACGTTACATCAGCGTCAGCTAACATCGACTGCATATGGCTCCCGACATTAAAGCAGAACACATGCTATAAATGAAATTGGTGCTGATGTTGGTTTGTCTGAAGCAGCAGGACTCACTCTGGCCATACTGGCTGTACTGGTAGCCGGCGGCTGCCACAGATGGGTCCATGCTGTAGCCGGTGGTGCTGTATGTGGGGGGGCAGTAGGACTGGGATGATGGGAGGCTGTCCACCGTCTTAATGGAGGCCTCGGTTGAGCGCTGGCTGCAGCTGGCTGAGATGGCGTTGGATGGAGACGAGTCCAAGGCGCTGTGGAGCGGCGAGATGGAGAAGTCGTGTTGTGGCTGTGAGGAAACGCCGCTGGGGTTACTCAGGATGCTCATCACCTGCAACACAGAGGAGAAGACGCCATCAGGACGCTGCTTCTTTCCAACAGTATGCTTCAGAACACCACATCTCAACAAACACTGGTCAGAATATTCATGAAAATCATTTTTAATCACGTTGGTGACCATCTGAGCTTCAATGTTCCACAATCTAACAAGCAGATTGTCCTGAAACATCCATCCTGCCCACAGGATGAAACCTTTTTCTACCCTCGGGGTAAACTGAAAAGTTCAGCTACACATGTGGTGAATCTTTAAGAAAAGTTACATGTTCATTATGTTGTTAATAATCAGCCACTGTCAGGGAGATGAGCAACATTCAGGGCAAAGGTGAACAGTAACCTTCCTTTTTCATCTTCTACCTGCTTATTGATAACCCCATCAGAATCTTATCTAATACACTGAACTGGCTGTAGGCTCCATGATGATTTCAATAGGAATTGATTATTGATTAGTGGCAGTGACCTGTGTCCTCGTCATCTTCTGATGTTTGTGACCACAGCTTCTGGAAATCAATACACATGAAATAATCTGTCAAAACATATATATATATCAATATAATATTATATATGGCCAGGTCTCTCTTGTTAAAGAGATTTTTGATCTCACTGAGACTTATAAAAAATAAAACTTAAACTTAAAATAAATAAATATATATGTATATATATATATCCCCTCTCACCCCTTGCAGGGTGGTATGTGTCATCCTCAAGTTCGGGTCCTCTACCAGAGGCCTGGGAGTTTGAAGGTTCTGCACAGTATCTTAGCTGTTCCTAGGACTGCACTCTTCTGGACAGAGACCTCTGATGTTTTACCTGGAATCTGCTGTAGCCACTCTCCCAGTTTGGGGGTCACAGCCCCCAGTGCTCCGATTACCACTGGCACCACCATTGCTCTTACTTTCCACATCTTTTCTAGCTCCTCTTTCAGCCCTTGGTATTTCTCAAGCTTCTCGTGGTCCTTCTTCTTGATGTTGCTGTCACTTGGGACTGCCACATCTATCACTGCAGCCTTCTTCTGCTGTTTGTCGATCAGCACGATGTCTGGTTGGTTAGCCATCACCAGTTTGTCAGTCTGGATCCCACAGGATCTTAGCTCAGTCATTCTCAACTACCATTTTGACCTTGGGACTTCCAGCCCATACTTATGGCAGATGTTCCTGTACACTATGCCAGCTACCTGGTTATGGCGTTCCATGTACGCACTTCCTGTCTGCATCTTACACCCTGCTGTTATGAGCTGTACTGTCTCAGGGGCATCAGCCACTTCTTCGATTTGTCTGTAGTACATGCTGTGCAGTGGCTTGTCCCTCCATGAAGGTTCTTCTTCTTCCTTGTCCTCACCCTTGGATTTCTGCTGCCTGAGGTACTCACTAAGCCCTTCATCTTTGGGGGGGCAACTTCCTGATGTACTCCTGGATCTTTGTCGTTTCATCCTGGACAGTGATTTTGACACTCACTAGCCATCGGCCTCCCTCGCTACGCTTGGTGTACAGTCTCAGGGTGCTGGATTTGGGGTGAAATCCTCCATGCATTGTGAGGAGCTTTCTTGCCTTGATGTCTTCTATTTCAGTGCTGTTCATACTATGTCATATTGTATACTGTATACCAATACACCTACCTCAGGTCATAAGGTAATATGTCTTGTTTATTTTTTCCAGCATCCTTTGCACTATGCTCCATCACACTGTGTACATGTATGTGTACCTGTATATCATATCCACCTTCAACATGTACATAATGAGAATAATAGTTTTCTCTTGAATCCTTGAATCCACTGCACTATTTCTCAATATGTCTATATTGTTTTGTTCATAGTGTGTATATTAGTGTTTTCTATACTGTAGTTTGTGTCTGATTTATTTTATTATTATTTTATTATTGTGTATCGTGAGTACAATCCTGAGTCAAATTCCTCATATGTGTACACATACCTGGCAATAAAGCGGATTCTGATTCTGATGTCAGTGGCCTCTATCTCCTCCTTTGGCCAGTTTATTATACCAGCAGGTTATCTGATGACTGGCAGGGCGTATGTGTTGATTGCTTGGATCTTGTTCTTCCCATTTAGTTGACTTTTCAGGACCTGCCTTACTCTCTGTAGGTATTTGGCTGTGGCGGACTTCCTTGTTGCCTCCTCATGGTTTCCGTTAGCCTGCGGCACCCCAAGGTATTTGTAGCTGTCCTGAACATCTGCAATGTGGCCTTCTGGTAGTTCAATCCCCTCGGTTCTGATCATTTTCCCTCTTTTTGATACCATGCGACCAACTTGTCTAGTCCGAACAACATTCCAATGTCGTTGCTGTAGATCCTGGTAGTGTGGATCAGTGAGTTGATATCTCGCTCATTTCTGGCATACAGCTTGATGTCATTCATGTAGAGGAGGTGACTGATGGTTGTTCCACTTCGGAACCGGTATCCGTAGCCAGTCTTTGTAATTATCTGGCTGAGGTGGTTCAGGCCTATGCAGAACAGCAGCAGGGATAGTGCATTACCTTGGTATATGCCCCACTTGATGGTGACTTGTGCAATTGGCTTTGAGTTGGCTTCCAGACTTGTTTTCCACAGCCCAATTAAGTTCTTGATGAAAGCTATTAGTGTCCTGTTGATCTTGTACATTTATGTGGCATTGAGTCATAGGCTTTCTTGTAGTCAATCCAGGCTGTGCACAGATTGGTCTGCCTGGTCTTGCAGTCTCGAGTGACTGCTCTATCAACCAGTAGCTGGTGCTTGGCTCCCCTGGAATTTCTGCCCATTCCCTTCAGGGCCCTGTCCATGTATTGAGCTATGTGCCTACTCATCTTAGCCACTATGATGCCTGACAGGAGCTCCGATGTTGTGCAGAGGCAAGTTATTGGCCAGTAGTTGGATGGGATTGTTCCATTCTGAGGATCCTTCATGATCAGGACTGTCCGTCATGGGTTAACCATTCTGGGTGGGTTCCATCCATCAACAGTTGGTTCATTTGTGCTGCCAGGCGTTCATGGAGTGCAGTTAGTTTCTTCAGCCAGTAGGTGTGGATCATGTCAGGACCTTTATTTAACTAGGAAGTCACATTGAGGTTAAAATGTCTTTTACAATATGGATAAAAAAGTGGTGATGGGGCAATGGATAAGACACATGTCTTTGGTGTGAGAGACCCAGGTTGAATCCCCCACTGTGACCCATCCACCATTGTATCCTTGAGCAAGACACTTAACCCCTCGTTGCTCCTGAGGCATGCAATAGGAATTGTAAATTGCTTTGGATAAAAAGCGTCAGATAAATGAATAATAATAATAAAGAAATTAGAAATCACCGTTAATGTTGTTATCATCATGAAGGAATTAACAAATTGATTAACCAGAAATTACGTGTGAATATTAGTTTTGGATGTAATTTCATATTTTGGATTTGAGGCTGACTTGTTATCAGCCTTTAGTTCGTCTCTCTCTTGATCATCATTTGAAGATTTCTACTTTGCTGGAATCAGTAAAGCTGCAGGAGGATGAACACTTTGTTGTATGGTTTTACTGGTCTTCCATGGTAGGTAGAGGGGTGGAGGAGTGAAATACTTGCTGGTCTGCTTGTTAAAGGGATAGCTAGACATTTTAGCTTATTGACTTTCCTTCTGAGAGTGAGAAGAGCCGACAGACAGTCATTACTGTGCCAGGCCACATGTAGATAACAGGCCTTTTTACTACAGGCTACGCTTTCAATGCCATTTATGTAGAGTGATTAGATCTCAGGGAGCCAACTGGAGAGCAAGTGATGGGGTCTCAGGCCAACCTTTCTCTGTGACCATCACATGAAGTGGGCCGACTGATGTTCCTAATCAGTAAAATCAGGCAGGGTGGAGGAGAGAATGAATCAGATAGCCTAGAACCGGGAGAACTGACTGAGAACCAAGGTAACAAATAAAAGCTCCAGGAAGAAGAATCAGGTTTGAATAACAAGCATGTTTTGGCAGAGGAAGGAGCTGAAATATGAAAACTGCTAGATCTGACGGCATGTTCATGATCATGTGTAAGTGTGGCATCGTTGTACAATGATCAATGCTGATCAATAAGATCAGGTCCTTTATAAAGAGGCAGCAGACATAAAGGTTAATGCATGGAGCAGGATTTCTCTGAGAAAGGATTCACTGTGCTCATGCAGCTGACTGACAGTCTGTCAGGACACGTCAATATCTCTACAGTCAAATATATAAAACAGGTATTTCAGACACCTGCAGGTATTGGGGGTCAGGGGATTCTTCTTCAACAGTTGTTGTGTCAGTATGGACACCAAAGTGTCCCCTCAAATCCTCCATTAATGATGCAACAGGTGACGCAGCCCCACACAACTCTGGTCTATATCAGTAAGGTGATCTCACGTCTATGTGTCAGTACAGAGCTGGAGTCAGGACATAGTTAGCCTAGCTTAGCGTAAACACTGTAAGCAGGGGGAAACAGCAAGCCTGGCTTTGTCCAAATACACCTACCAGCACCTCTGCCGCTGCTAACATTCAGCAGCACTAAAAAGGAAGTGGTCTGCAGTAGAGCTATTACTGATGGTCTGCTTGCAGGTGGACCTGTGGCCTCAGATCTACAGATACTGTTCTGGTTGTACTGAGCTCTGGTCATTAACATGCACTGTACTGTAACTCATTCGGTATACCGTTCATCTGGAAATAAACCCTTTCACCTTCTAAACAGCAGCTGGTATCAGTAAATGAATATTATATGCATACTTCAGATAAACAACCATTTCACACAGAAACAACAATTTGAATGTCCTCAGCTGTTGTTTTGTTTGCACTCTTCTTTGTGGGTTTCTATGCTGCGTCTGCAGCTGCAGCCCGCTGATTACAGAGACTGTAGCCAGATGATGCAGGGCTTCTTCAACATTAGACAATGTCCTCAAGGTGTCCAGTGGTGTCAAAACATGTGCACAGCAGATTGAATAAGCACCATGTGTCAATCATTCAGATTCATTTTTATAGCCTGGGTAATACGTCGTCATCATTCCTTTAAATATCAC